CACATTCTCCCTATCGTCAAATTAGACATGCCATCTCGCTTTTCCTCCACTCCACCCTGTCCTGCGCCAGCTCTGTCCACCCGGGTTTCTGGGGCCCGTAGAACCTCGCGCACTGACATGCCCGTGCGATGTGCCACGAGAACTTACGAAATCCCCGTGTACCCCCCCCCCCCCTTTCGCTCCACCACTGCATGTGCCAGACTACTCCAGAAGAACACATGTGATAAGATTAACCCCGGATTGCCGGCAGCGCCCCATGGCAGACGTGGCCTCCGCATGCGTGGGGGGCCGTCTCCCAAAAAAGCCGACGTCCGATGCCTTGGCGCGCTCCGCATTTTTATCTGTTTGATATGACCCCGAACCTGGCTCGAACAACTACACGCCGGTCGGAAGAAGGTGGCAGAACGATGACGTCGGAGGGCGGATCAAGTAGATTGGGTCCTGGCCCACCCAAAGAGCACCAGACAACAACCCAAACAGATCGACTCTTGAGGTAGGAAGGCACTCGAAGTAGACTGGGCTTGGGGGATCCAAAAATACCAACATTCAACGACCAGCGCGCATCCTTCTTCAGACTCCTCTGGAATCTTCGGCAAGCGCAGCTGCCTCGCCAGCTGCTTGGTCTGCGCCGCCCTCAAACTGAGAGCTGCTCTCCGACGCAGTTGTCAGATCGGCGCCCACCACCAGCTTGACGATGACGTCACGCAGCGCACTATGTTGAACCCCAACGCTCTCGAACACGTTCTGCTCGTTAGAGTAGAATGAAATGTCCCAGCAGCCGACGTCGCCGTGAATGTTTTGACTCGGATATCCTGATCCGTTTGGCCTCTTGCATTCGTCCATGCGCAAGTGATTCTGGCGGCCTTAGCATGCGGCAGTATCTCCACGTGCAACCAAATCTTGGACCAAGGATGCTTGTCCCCGATGTAGATCACCAGCAGCGTGATACGGTGGCAACGACTTTCCACACTGCACCAGAGTTCTGTGACAAAATGATTTGAGCGTCGGCAATTGGAATGGCCAGCATGACTGTCCATACAGGCATCAAAAGGAAAAGTCTGTGCTCGCATACTTGGCACCGATGTTCGAAGGCACCCCGCAGTAAGCAACATTCAAACTAACTCCAAGCCTGTCTTCAATATGTCACGGCCAACATTGGCGCAAACAATCAGCAAATACCATCTGCAATCAGGCTGGCCCCCAAGCAGACACTCGAGGAGCCCCGCGCGTGATGGATGCCGCCGTAGCGGTATCGCCACATAGATGAACGCTGCATCTAGAACGTAGATGTCTCATCGACCAAGCCGCAATCAACTCGGGCACGCATCTCCTTTGCAACAACTGCAATAATCTGGGATGATATGAACCATCACACGCATTGGGAACAACCGCAACACCACACGCGCACACACACCACCAGGGCCATATTGCAACAACATCTGGACAACCCGCATGATAACGATGACCATGCCCCTGACATTCGGCGGTGGACAAACCTCCCTTTAATAAACCTCCCCTTCGTGAAAACGGCCTGGGACCGAAACCGACGGACCTGGACCCGCAAAAACGACGGCCGCGACGCCCTCTCGCGAACCGAACACGGCCAATTCGCTAATCGACGTGTCAGGGTAGGAGGTCTATCCACCTCCGAGACATTCTGACCTGCAAGATGAGCATCTTGTCACGGCGCCACATCCACTGCTTTCTCTTCGACGGGCCCCAAGAGCGCACCGCCAGCCGCCCTTGGAATTACAGACGTGGCCGCCAGGTGGTCTCACGGGGGGGGGCGAGCCCTGCTGCCACGCCCTCGCTTGGAGCGAGGACCATGTCGCGTACCGCACGCTGGGTATCTACCACCATAACAACAGAGCGTAGAGGGCGATCCACCAAACGGAATCTCTGTCACGCCGAACGGCATATGCTTGGCCCCCAGGATGAATGAAACACAGTGCGAGAGTGAACGCGCGTAGCTCGATCAGTGGCGCGTTTCAAAGTCCAGAGAGACCTGCCTACCTCGATGTCATTGCGATGCAGCTCCGCCCCGAGCGGCATGTCAGGCCGCGCGCCCCCCCCCCCCCCCTCAAAACACTCCACCATGCACGGACAACACAGCGCACGCGCATGGCAGAAACCAAGTGCGGACTACCTACCAGACCACCCCAACCCAACCCGAAGACCCGATTTTGAGGTTGGGGGGGTATGGGCTCCCTGTGTGTTCTCGATGTGCCCCGACCCCCCCCCCCACTTGAAATGGAGGGCGAATTGAGACCTTCGGGTTGGGTTGGGGTGGTTTGGTGGATGGCGAAGTGTAGCGTGTGGCGAATGAACGAGTCGACGGCATCATTGGCGAAGGAGTCCGCCACTTGATTGGATCAGCGACAGAAATGATGCACGTGGGCCCGCCCAAGCTCAGCAATAAGGGCTAGTACATAGATGTATACATATTCAAATACATAAAACCCTGCGTGTCCACCACCGCCCAGTTACCCACAGTCTAATGCCTTGAAGGATTGCACTTTCCGAGCAAAAAGTCAGGTCGCACATGTTCGTAAGTATACATCACGGCTAACTCCAGTAAGCGTATAGCCAATATCATACAGCATCAATCGATGCAGTCCCTGGGAGAAGACAATAAGAAACACTATACATTCCAGCCACACCCGCATCGAACAGCACACACCCACAACCCGCATTAAAAGAATCACGTTGTGCCCCATCAACTTACCTACCCAAGCCTTCCGAGGGACCCCAGGTCCAAGATCCCCACTGTCAACAATGTGTGGCATGTCAGCGGGGGCAGCATCACCTTGCGCAGCTAGAGCCTGAAGCATGTCGCCCACGACCAATCCTAGGAGCAGCACGATTCACAAGGCTTGAGGCTGAGGGTAACATTGAAGATGTGGGAGAAGTCGAACGAATGATCCATCCCGAACTTCCCGAAGATCTGGGATAGGATGTTACACAATATGATGCGTGATTCAATGCCGTGTGTTCCGAAGTACCTCTTGCAAGCATCGACGATATCCGACAGGATTATCCTTCAAGGACCGAACAGATGGCGTTCAAAACTAGAACCGAAGCGAAGCCCAACTTTGAAGCCGAAACTGGTACCGAACGAAACCAACACAGAAACGCGTGGCTCAAAACAACAAGCACGAAACGGTACAGAAACAAAATACGAAACGACAAACAGATCAAACACCCAAACCAAGCTAAACGGCGTTGTGACTCGTCCTCCAGAGCAGGATCCGCCACAGCACTCGGCCGGTGTTGCCGCAGCCGTCTTCCCCTAGCCGCCAGCACGAGTATGGAAAGGATGGCTTGAGACGTCACCCCGTGCTCGGCGCTCCTCAATTTCTTGCGCGCCGCTCATACTTTCCTCGCATATACGATGTTCTCTCCCCGTGCAGGCGGTTGCCTCCACTCCGCCGCAAGCTCATACAGATGAACACGTCCAACCTTTCCCGCCGCCCTTGCACTCATACTCCGTCCCCTCGATGCAGCAGCTTGTCGAATATTGATCGAGAGTTCCTCTAATCTCAGGCCAAATGCCACCTGGCTCGCCACAATATCCACAAACGCCTAAGATCGTAGTACTCTCCAACCGGTAGTGTTCTCTCCGCACAAAGTTCATGTTGGCGATCGAACTGCATGATGACGGCCCTATGATCAATAAAGGTAGCAGCCGTATTCAGAACAGGAGCTTGCCGTAGTCAACCGAGGGAGATGAGGAAGGATGACACCGAGGACGAATAGCAGCAGCAGGAACTGGAGCGGAACGAGCGGGAGGAGCAGGAGGACCAGGAGAAGGTGGAGGGGGGGAAAGGAGGGTGGCGACAAGGATGAGGAAGGGCTCGGATCTAGGAGAAGTGGCCCGCGCTAGAAAGCGAGAGCGCCACTCTGAACGACGGGAGCAGGGCGCCCATCCTCAAACGGCGCCCACGCTGCAGCGGGAACACCATTCGGAAGGACCGAAAACGCCGAGGCGGGAGAAAGGCAAAACACAAGAGAAACGAGCTCGGATCCATCCTGCGTAGAAAAAAGAAATACGCACAGGGGGACGCGCCACTTCCAGGCCATCATTGGGGGAGGAAGGAGAGCGGTATTCACGTTGAGTGATGGTAAAAGGAGGGAAGGGGGGAGGCGGAACAAAAAACAGGGAGAGTGGACCAAGCGCATGGTCTCATACTTGCCCCTCGCTCGCTGCAGCTCCTCCCCCTGCACGAGAGGGGTCCTTGTTGAAGACAACGTGATGTCGGGGATTCCACTGGCGTCGCAGAGCAAGCAATACAACGGCATGGTCGAAGAGAAAACGCGCCGATCTCATGTGCAACCGTGCTACCCCTCCTCGCTCCTCGCTCCCCGCTCCTCGCTCCTCCTCGCTCCTCGCTCCTCCTCCTCGCTCCTCGCTCCTCCTCCTCCTCCTCCTCCTCCTCCTCCTCCTCCGCCTCTCCCTCTCCTCCTCCTCCTCCTCCGTTACCTCCTCCTTTACTCCTCCTCCTCCGCCTCCTCCTCCTCCTCCTCGCTCCTCCTCCTCCCCCCCCTCCTCCTCCTCCTCCTCCTCCTCCTCCTCTGCCCTCGCCCTGGCCCACCTTCCGCCCGCGCGCAGGCCGCCGCACGCGGCGCCAGGAGCCGCCCGCTCCGACCCGCGCTGCCTCCCACCCTCCCAATGACTGCGCCTCCCTCCTGGCGCCCCTGCTGGCTCACTGCTGAGCTGGCAGGGCCCGGGGGCGAGGGAGCTCGCCTCCCCGCCCCGCCTACCCTCCCAATCACTGCGCCTCCCTCCTGACGCCCCTGCTGGCTCACTGCTGAGCTGGCGGGGCCCGGGGGCGAGGGAGCTCGCCTCCCCGCCCCGCCCGAGCGTGGGCGTGGCGCCCCCTTCCCCCCGACCTCCTAGCCCGCCTGGTCCGCCCGGTCTGCCAGGCGCAGCCAGACGCACCCCCACGATGGGGCCGCCAGCGACGGTGACAGCGATGGCAGCAGCAGCAGCCAGAGGAGGACTCGACTCTGTCGTGTGCCCAGCATGCTGTGACCGTCTGCGGCAGCTTGCAAAATCACACCGCATCGCCATTGAACACGCGACGGCACACACACACACACACACACACACACGTGCAGGCCGCAGGCTCTGGCAGCCCATCGGCAAATGAATGTATGGCCATTCAGAAACCGCTGTGGACAATACAAGACATTGGCCCCGAGAAAACCAATCCCGCCTTCCCTAGCAGTGCGCAGAATCAGAAAATTGACCAACGCAAGCACACATTCACACACACACACACACATTCACACACACACACACACAGAACAGTTTGGCAACATAGCGTGTCTCTGGACCTGCTGGGGAGAACTGGGGAGACCAAACATACCGATACCGCTACTCCCCAGACCTCTCCCTGGGTGCGCTCTGACCAGGGCTTCGGTGCGAATCAAGCCGTGGCGACGAAGGCCTCCGGGGAGGTCCAAACAAGGCGAGAGCGAGGGCAGGGTAGCGGTATCGGTACAGGTTCCTCCTCTGCTTGACACCGTACTTGGCTGCATCTTGCCAGTATGTGCGGCGACGCGTGTCTCAGTCTGCCCCACGCGGATTGCCCTCCCCTCCAGCAGGGTCGGCCCCTGACCCCGTGCCTGCGCCGAAGCCCCTGCTCGCAGAGGGACCGAACTGGAAAATCGGGTCGAGTCGGTACCGTCTCCATCTTGGCCGCGCGCACAAGGGGGCAGGGGGGGCGGGCTTCTTGGAAGGAGGCTGCTTTTTAGAAGCCGCCGGCCTTACATCTACAGATGATGCCCGCGCCTTCCAAGAAGCAGGGTGCTGTTTATGAATGACAAAAATAGGAGCCCCAAAATTCGGCAGGGGACCTAAGTCAGGAGGGCCAAAAACAGTAGGGAGAGGGGGTCTTTTCTGCAGATGCACCGAGCCAAACCGCCCAGAATCATCAAATTCCGATGCGACGACGGGGACCTCCGTGAGGCCACGCCTTCAGCGTGTTAGAAGGGTTCGGGGTTCTCTTTCTCCCGGTGCTATTATACGAAGCCTGCCCCCCTCCCCCTGCCCCCCGTGACCGAACCTCCTCTCCGGGCGCGCCGGCGGGCGAGCTGCCCACCCCTCAATCGCAGATCGAGGTGCGCGGGCGCAAAGGCTCGGCGGTGGGCAAACCTCCCTTTCGCAAACCTCCCCTCATTGCAAACGGCCCGGGACCGAACCCGACGGACCTCGACCCGCAAAAGTAACGACCGCGACGCCCCCTCGCGCACCGAGAACGGCCAATCCCTGGATCGACGCGTCAGGGGAGGAAACCTATCCACGTCCGAAAGAAGCGGCCGAGGATTTGGACGCCCGAAATGGGTACTGAAAGAATGGGTACAATGCCCAACAGCAAATGTTGTCCCAAATCAACAGCGGCCGCTGTTGGGCAGTCGGCCTGCTGTCTCGAATGGACACAGGCCGCTGCGGCGCGGACAGCGAGTCCTGTTCAGAAAGAAGAAGATCCGCTGCTGGGCATTGCACCCACTCTTTCCGTGCCCGTTTCGTTCGTGCAGGCAGGAGATCCATCAACCTCCGAAAGGAACGGCCGAGGAGGCCCTGGGCACGCGCGGCCGACCCCCGCCCTCCCCCCGGCACTCCGGCGGCGGGGCCCGGGCGCACCCGCCCCAGACATCCGCCTGCTCCAATATTTTTGGGGGGCGTGGACCCGGGAGGTCCGGACCACTTCCCCGGGACCGGTTTTGCGTCCTGAATCATCTTTTGACGCTCCCGAGGCCCGGCGAGGACCCCCGGAGGCCGAAAACTGCCAAAAACTGCCTGCTCCGACATTTTTGGAGCGTCGGATCACAGGGGCCGCGAACCCGCGCCGCCTCTCTGGGCGCCTCAGCGGGCGCCCCGCGCCCGGGCGGGCGCCACGTGGCCGCCCGCCCCGCCCGAGAGCTGCCCCCCCCTCTGCGAGACCCCGCCGGCGCCGCCGCGCGCGCACGGCACCCGTCCGCGCCCTGCGGGATCGGATCGAGCACGTCTGCAGTACCGCGGGACAGAGGATCGACGAGCGCGCTCCGCTGCTCGCAGAGTGACCACTCGCAACAGGCCCGGATCCTCCGCGGAGGATCTGCGATAGGTTACGCAGAGTCTGACGTACGGTGTCTCGGAGGCTTGCGAGTGGGCACTTTGCAGGCAGTGGGACGCGCTCGCTGAGAGGAGGACGTACTGATAGTGTGTTTGTCTTTGCGAGGCGCCCGCCCCAACCGAACGCATGCGACAAACGTCTTGTGGTTAATTGTCGGAGGTGAGTGGGGGGTCCTCCTCCTCCTCCTCCTCCTCCTCCTCCTCCTCCTCCTCCTCCTCCTCTGGTCGCCTACGACCCCAGGGGAAACCGTGCACCCCTCCCGCCCCTGGCTCGAAAAAACCCGGGCGCCACCCCCGCGCGGCGCAGCCCCAGGACCACGCGGTGCCCGCGCCGGCCGCCAGCGGGGGCGGGGGCCTTCCGCTGCGAGTCGCGGAACTCGCTCCTGCACGCGAGGGAGGAGGAGGAGGAGGAGGAGGAGGAGGAGGAGGAGGAGGAGGAGGAGGAGGAGGACGAGGAGGACGAGGAGTTACGGAGTTACGGGTATGGCGACTGTGTCGGTTACAATTGAAGAGCAACTCATTGTGGTTGCTTGGGGTTTTTCTTGGCCTGTTCGGTCTTGCTGTAGACCTTAGGCCAAAGCCCCCTGCTGATACGATCAAGGTAACCGTTCCAATGACAAGTTAAATCAAGCTTGGTGTCACAAGCTCTGCCCAGGGAAACCAACTGCTAACGCAGCAGAACTTCCACAGGAAGAGCAAAACCAAAGCCCCAGCCCTAGGCGATACTTCAAATTGTGGCTTTCGTGAGCGTTCTCCCCGAGATATGCACCCTGCGCCCAGGAGGAGTCTGACGAATTTCACAACCAATCTTAACTACTGGGTCGAAACATGGTGAGCTGAGCCACTCGCTTCTTTTAGCCCAAACAGCGCGAGCAACTACGCCCGTCGTCTTTGAGACAATGCTGAGAAGCGACCGAAAGGCAAGCACTGGCTGAGGGAGGACGCACAATCTGGGAGCCAGGACGCTTTCGTCCAGTGCCCTCCTGCAGAAGGAGGGGGAGGAGGAGGAGAAGGAGGAGGAGGAGGAGGAGGAGGAGGTGGAGGAGGAGGAGGAGGAGGAGGGAGGGAGGGAGGGAGGGAGGGAGGGAGAGGGAGAGAGGAGGGAGGAGGAGGAGGGAGGAGGAGGAGGAGGAGGAGGGAGGAGGAGGAGGAGAGAAGGGTGGAGGAGGAGAAGGGTGGACGAGGAGGAGGAGGAGAAGGAGGAGGATGAGGAGTAGAAGGAGGAGGGAGGAGGGAGGAGGGACTAGGGAGGGAGGAAGGAGGTGGAGGAGGAGGAGGGGGGAGGGAGGGAAGGAGGATGAGGAGGAGGAGGAGGAGGAGGGAGGAGGAGGGAGAAGGCCGTTTGCGAAAACTCTATCCCCCACACTCGCCCCTGGGCGCCGCGCCCGGCCGCGCGCGCGCCCTCGGGGGAGCCGGCCTCGGCGTGCCAGCCGCGATCGGCGGCGCGCGTACCACGAGAAGGTGAACATCGGGAAAGGGACACTCCCCCTCCCCCTCCCGTCCCCCTCCTCCTCCCTCCTCCTCCTCCTCCTCCTCCTCCCTCCTCCTCCTCCTCCACCTGCTCCTCCACCTCCTCTCCTCCTCCTCCTCCTCCTCCTCCTCCTCCTCCTCCTCCTCCTCCTCCTCCTCCTCCTCCCTCCTCCCCCTCCTCCTCCTCCTCGTCCTCCTCCTCCTCCTCCTCATCCGCCTCCTCCTCCTCCTTTTCTTCCTCCTGTTCCTCCTCCTCATCCTTCTCCTCCTTCTCCTCCTCCTCCACCTCCTCCTCCTTTTCCTTCTCCTCTTTCGGGTGAACATCTGGGAGAAGGTGATCATCCACCAGTTGTTAAACCACAGATCAGATATCTACGACAGAAGCTCAGGGCCACGAGACCTGCCCACCCCGGTGGAGGCTCACCCGCAGGTTTGCCGAGACTACACACGCATAAAGGAATACGAACAGATGCAGCGCTCAAGAGAACGGGCTAGCTCGCCCGACACGGGCTTACCACACCGCAACGACCTCATGGCCATGGCTACGCCCTACGCCCGCCTTCAGAACGGCGTCCACACCAGGAGGGGACGAGATGCGTAACATGCAGCCCGAGGACGAGCTGCGTCACAAGAATCCCAAGTACGAGACCCACCACCAGTACGACACCAATATCGACGGCGAGTACAACAGCAAGAGCGGCGGCTTGAACCCAGCCGCGGCCATCGCCAAGCCGAGCCTGACCACGATCGTCCACCCAAGCGAGCAAGGACAGTACTGGGGCGACCATACTTCCTTTCTCAGATACGGGAGCCAGCGTGACCAGCTGCAGCGGCACCCAGAGCAGATACGAGTACCAGTGCTACGACGACCACCAGGACTACAATCTCTACCAGAATTGCCAGAACTGCGACTCCCTGTGCAAATACGCCGCCAAGGACCACTGGTACAAGTACGGGAGGGTTCAGTGGGCCAAGAAGGCGGAGAAGGCCAGGAAGGCTCAGGAGGACAGGAAGGCTCAGGAAACCACTACAGAGCTACACGGGCCACCAGCAGAGCTAAAAGGACAACTTGCCGAACTTCCATGGCAACGCGCAGAGCCTCGTGGGCCGCCGGCTGAGCTTCAGGAGCCACGAGCTGAGCTACGGGGACCACAAGCTGCGCTACGAGCACGGTGCGCAGAGCTACGAGTGCCACAAGCTGGGCTACCAGCTGTGCTACGAGGAACACCTGCCGAGATACGAGAGCCACCCGCTGAATTACCAGCACCACCAGCTCAGCTGCCAGAGCCACCAGCAGGACTGCGAGGGCCGACGGAGCTTCGAGGCCCACAGGCTGGGTCACGAGGGCCACCAACTGAACAACGAGGGCCATCAGCGGAGCTACGGAGACCACAAGCTGAGCTACGTGGAACACATGCAGGGCAACGAGGGCCTCCGGCAGAGCCACCGGCGCCACCAGCTGAACTACGAGGTCCAGGAGCAAAGCTTCGAGAGCCCCCGACACAGCTACGAGAGCCACCAGCTGAACTACGGGCTCGAGCTGCCAGGGCCGCGATCAGAACTCCGCGAGCCACCAGCTGAGCTAGGCGGACCACACGCTGAACTACGCTGGCCGCGCGCAGAGCTACGACAACCACCAGTTGAGATATCGGGACACCTGCCGAGCTATAAGAGCCACCACTTCAGCTACGAGGACCACGTGCTGAGCTACGTAGGCCACAAGCAGGGCTACAGAAGCCACCTGCGGGGCTACCAGCGCCACCAGCTGAGCTTCCCAAGCCACCTGCAGGGCTGCGAGGGCCACAAACTAAGCTTCGAGGTCGGCAAGCTGAGCCACAAGGACCACAAGCCGGGCCACGATGCCCACCAGCTGGGCCACGAGGGTCACCAGCAAGGCTACAAAAGCCACAAGCTGAATTACACGGGACACGAGCTGAGCAGCAAGGGCCTCCAGCAGAGCTACCAGCGTCCGAGCAGGACTCCGAGAGCCACCGGCTGAGCTACGAGGGCCACGAGAGGAGGACGAGGAGAGCGACGAGCACGACGAGCCCATCTTCCTCGTGTACGCTGCGCTGGAGGGGCTGGATTTCATCGAGGCCATGAACGCGGAGGGGGAGGCATTCACAGAGGAATTCACCATCGGGGCCAGATTCAAACTCACGAGCCCCACGCAAAACAAGACCCGACAAGGTGGCGCCAACAGGCATAACCGTTGACCGCAGCTAAGTAGGACGGGGACGCGAGAGTCCGCGAAATGGGCCCTCAGGGAGCCCTGTCAGAGCGATCTCGTCCGCCCGCGACCACAGCGAGGCGCACCAGGACCAGACACCTGTGGGCCAGCGACCCCCCATACCTGTCCCCGCCACAGAACTTCTAGGACGGCAGGAGACAGACGAGTGCGACGACGACGACAGCGCCGAGAGCGACGCGGAGCACGAGGAGAGCAGCGAGAGGAACGCCACCTGCTCAAACAGAGACAGGTGGAACGCTGAGCATTACGACCTGGCAAACGACGACTACGGAAAGACATGGCGAGACCAGCCTGCCTGAAGCCAGAGAATATTACGAACTACTACAGCGCTACGGACAAGGGTACACATGTACATTCTGCACACAGAGATACGACTTCTACCCACATGGCGCTGTCAGCATCATCATAGGACATCGTGTCGCCATTACCGACAGGGTACTTCGTGCACTGCGCTACTGGCAGGGTACTACGTCTGCGCTGTGCACAGCATCTATGGCTGAGCGGCCCCGCCGCTCCACCCAACCGCCCTCCTCCCCCTCCGCAGGGGAACGAAAAATGGCACAAGCATAATAACTCGAAAGTCCGCGCGGATTTCTTGGATCCGCGCTGACCCCCCTGGCGCGCGGAGCGCCCCAGGGGCGGCGCCGGAGGCGCCGCCAGGGGGCCCCAGCCGATCCGAGAAATCAGCGCGGACCTCCAAGTTATTCCCCAATCAGAGCTTGCCTCTGTAGGGGTGCGGATTCATATGGTTAAGATAAGTTTGCCGCCGGGTGCCCGGGGGTGCCTGGGTGCCTGGGTGCCCGGGTGCCTGGGTGCCCGGGTGCCCGGGTGCCCGGGTGCCCGGGTGCCCGTGTGCCCGGGTGCCTGGGTGCCCAGGAGCCCGGGTGCCCAGGTGCCCGGTAGCTCTATATATAGCCCTATAGCCCTATAGACCTATAGCCCTGTAGCCCTATAGCCCCAATAGCCCTATAGCCTTATAGCCCTATAGCCCTATAGCCCTGATGATTGCCCTATAGCCCTACAGCCCCGTAACCCTATAGCCCAATAGCCCTATAGCCTTATGGCCCTGTGGCCTTATAGCCCCATAGCTAGCCTATAGCCTCATAGCCTTATAGCCCTAAAGCCTTAAACAGATTCTGATTGTTTTTTTTCTCCGGTATCATCATGCGTATGTCACCCCTACTCCGTGGCATCAGGTGGTGGTATTTGCGAGTTTGGGCAGCCTTCCCCTCCTTTCCCCCCCCCCTCCAGAATGGGGCGGACCCGCCCCAGCCCTGGCCGCGCCCGCGCGCGTCGGGCGCGAGGCGCGCCCGGTGGCTGAAGCGCCCAGCGGTGGCGGGAAGGGGAGGAGGAGGGAGGAGGGAGAAGGGAGGGAGGGAGGGGAGGGAGGGGAGGGAGGAGGAGGAGGGGAGGAGGGAGGAGGAGGAGGGAGGGAGGAGGGAGGGAGGAGGGAGGGGGAGGAGGGAGGAGGAGGAGGGAGGAGGGAGGAGGGAGAGGGGAGGAGGGAGGAGGGGGAGGAGGAGGAGGGAGGAGGAGAGGGAGGAGGGAGGAGGGAGGAGGAGGAGGAGGAGGAGGAGGAGGAGGAGGAGGAGGAGGAGGAGGGATGGAGGAGGAGGAGAAAGGGAGGGCTCGCTCTCGCAAGGGGATAGGGTAGGATAGCTC